ACTTGCTTTATTCTTAGACCAGCACTTATTCTAGCGCTGCAAAAAACAGCAACTCATTAAACATACGTCAGTTGTATGATTTCAAATCTTTCATACATCATACAGGTGTGTAAAATGTCCAATGGACTCAAGTGATGTCCTTCTGATAATAGTTACACAGTCAGACAAAGCAAACATGAGACAGTCATTGTGTAAATGGTGTAAACATGTGCTTTGTTATTTTATTTTGTTTTGGAGACACATAACTTTTCTTCAATATGCAAAAGACATTGTTATGATATCACAATGCATAATTAGCTTTAGGAAAAACTAATTTTTGTGGACAGTTAACATAAATTATTGCCAATGTCACAGGGTCCTAATATTATTGATTTCAATGCATTGGGATGGTGCCATTGTAATTTGAAAATAGACGACTAATGATTGAATATGTCCGTCTTAATATAGCATGGGGTACTTAGGGAAATGGTAACAGGATGATATGAGGACAGTAGAGGTACCAGGGGGATGTCATTTTAGTGATACAATATGCTTTTCATACAAATATAAACCAAACACTTACAGCTTGTTGTAAAACAAATGTTCCTTTCTTGTTCATAATGACTTCTTCAATGGCTTTGATAGATGTTTCCAAAGCTTTCAAACCTTCTTCTAGATTCATTGTTGTTGTCATGACAACATAGGTTGGTGGTGAAATGGGATTTATCTTAAAGAAGAAAACAGTTTACAATCAAACAGTGAAATTTTCAAAAGATTATTTATCCTTGTATGGTATTTAGGACTGGCATAGCTATTGTAAGATATAATTACATTGCTGTGCACATTTGGGACATCTATAAATAATTAAATTTTGTTTTCGTGAACATCAAAATGTCCATCCTCATTGTGTTTATGTAGCAATATTGCAATTTGATGCATTTCAATGAGAATGATCTGTCATATACAGTGGTGTAAAACAAAGCTTCATGCTATTCTTGGTTCTTAAGGTTTGTTTTTCTTGACAACTCATTTATTGACAGTTGTCTTGTTGTACACAATGTTCAGTAGTATATATAATAATCATTCTACAATTGAAATCTTGACATAAACATATTTAAAAGTTAAAATGACATGATGAATATGAGGTATAGCTCAATTGGTTAAGAACAGTTCATGTACGACGTCAGATGATGTTAATAATAATTCATAATGGTTTTAAAAAGCTTGGCTGACTGATAATTATGCTAATAAACACATAACCCAGGCTGTCACATGTTACAATCGTAAACAAAATCTCAGCAAACTTTTGGCATAAATATAGAGCAGTTTTAAAATTCAAAAGGAGTAAAGATCTTTTTGTAAAGTCTAACAATGATCAATGATTACAGTACAATAGAACTTACCTAAATGAAGTCATAATATTAAACGTCGCTCGATTTTGAAATAGAAATTCAAACAATTCGTTATGTTGATGATGGCACAAAATATGTACAAAGATATAACGCAGATTGTTTAATCCGTTGCATTTTTCATTGAAAACTTTTCAAGAACCTCAAACGGTAATACTTTAAATACAGACGAACAAGTTTACAGTTTGAGTTTACATGACTGACTTCACCGATTCTCGGAAACATCCGGTAGAAACTATCGGTATTCGCCGATTATTATGCGATGTCTGTCGTGTGAAAATGGTTTGTGACGTATTCAGTGACGTAATCAGTTCTTGTACCCCAGGTTATCAAAGTGGGCGTTGTACAAATAGAAAATACGACATCGAAAAGTACATTTGTTCTAATTAGTTAATATTTCAATTATCATTATATTCACGGCGCACTTGTACAAATTATAGATATTTATAGTTCATCAGGAATTGAAGGAAAATTTAAATCATACAATTCAATGAAGTTCCAAATATAAAAGTGCGAGTAAAAATATTAAATATTCAGTCCGACTTTCTGCTCCAGATTCCATCCCTTGATCCTCTGCAACACTCTCTGGAACGTTTTGTGAACGGGAATTATTTTTTCGTTTTGATGTACTTTCTTCAAGCTCTAGAGATTTTCCTCTCGTCCATATTTGATTAGAGTTAGCTCTGGATTTTTTCACCGTTTTCGCTCCTTTCCTTACTTTGTAAAAAATTGAATGTAAATACAGTTGACCAATTAAATATATAACATATAAGTAAGAAAACTCAGCACTCTAAAGGCATCATCAACAAGCTGTAAGTACAATGCTAACAGAATGCATACTAAAGAACAAAAATTCCAAATTTTTTGATATTTAATTATCTAATTATCAAATCAAATTGTCTAATATACAACAAGCAGTAAATAGTTCGTTTCCAAACTTGTGTATACCACGATTTTTAGATATAAATAGTAAAAAGATAATCATAGTTTACAATGTTCTATTGTTGGTTCTAGATATAAGTATACAATAAAATATGTTTTATCAACTGTTCTTGGATATAACACCAGTTTGTTATAAGATTAAAGGTTGCTGAAATTTACAACAACTTACGAAATCAACTTTCAAATGTTTATTACTATGATGCATGTTTACATGTCGTCGATTATTATTTGATCAATCTTCAATTTTGCAATACCGTGGTCGTCATCTTTACTGCCAAGCTCATTTCCCTTTTGGATCAGTTTATGAGCTTTAAGAAAAATAACGCCTAAGATTGATGATGGATGCCAAATTTGCTTGGCCAATTCTCGTTTCTTTATGCAAATTTGTTCAACACCTTGAGATAATGTGTTATTTTCAATTGAACCATTTAGGGAAACAGGCCCTCTGATGTAATCACATTGTCTTATGTGTGAGAACAAATTCTTGGGTAAATTACCAATACCATGGCTACTTGAGCGAAAATACTCAACAATCAATTTCCAATCTTTGTCTTTTTCAGCACTGGATAAATCAATTCCTTTGAACTTGCTCAGTTTTTGAGGACTCACGTCAAACATGATAATAGCTGGATGAGTACTGGTCTTTCCATATTGCTCTAATGAGAACTTTGCCTTATTTACCATGTAGAAACCTTCTCCATCAGAGAAGTCTGATTTCTTTCGACCAAAACCCAGCACAATTCTGTCTTCCAGAATATCCACAGCACTTTCGTGATCAGTACAATGGAAATATACTTCTGTCCCAGGATTATTTTCATTTAATTCAGCAACTTTTGATCCAACATGGTATAGAGCATCTTCTTGCGATTCAACATTGATCATATTTATAGGATGACTATGTCTTCCCTCTTCATCTAAACGTGGGATAGTCACAGTAAACCATTCATTTTGATTATCATTTTTGAAAGGAAAATCCGAAACTTCATCATTTAAGAAGATATCATACTTAAAATGATTTTCAATGTAAGTTTCCACCCAGGATAAAATTGGTTTGTGATTTGGATCTGGCATGTTGGTTATCCAATTAGCAATAAATTGAGATCGATGCTTTGTAAAACCAATCTTGAATAAGATTTCAGCAACCTTTTCACCATCTCTGAGATTTTTTATGCCGTCTTCTTCCTTAAACTCCTTTAAGAATCTTAGCAAATGTACCTTTTCACTTTTGTGTTTTCTCATGTAAGGACTTAGTTTGAGAAGCCTGCAACCAAACTCATCTTTCAAACCAAGCACTGAGCACAGAATATCTTCTTGGGTGAGTTCCAAGTCAAAGAGATCATTTACCTCAGGATGGTTTAGATTGGAAATGGCACTTTCTATACTACTTAAAGCATTATCAAGATTAAATTCATACACATACTCAATTGTAATTTCTTGCTTAAAGCCAAAAAAATTATTGTAGATAAGATTTATTGCATCGAGAAGCTCGGTTAACTTGTAGAGATCTACTTTTAGATCATTCAGTTGACTTATCTTTTCATAAGAGAGTTTGCCTTTATCAGACAATAATGTCTTTACCTTGTCCAACAAGATAAAACAAAATACAAGACACTGATGAAGAACACAAATTGAACGAATTAAGTGGGGGTCAGTTTTACCAGCTCTTTCTTGTCTATCTAGGGTACGCAATTCGGAACGCCAGTCGCCAAGAACAGTCACATATTTCTCAACATCTTCATTGTTTTTAGTAGTTCGCTTTTCCGTGATTTTACCAATCTTTGATGTGAAATGTTCATCAATGCAAATGATAGGACAATGTTCAATGATTGGATATTTATTCATTCTAAAAATGTAAAGTAAAGGAACACATAAAACATCAAGTTACACCTAAACATTTGACACAAATCTATGTTTAAAGTTCTTACCAAAAACTATAGTTATAAAACAATACTTCCCAACAATAAGAATAGCCGCAGAATTTTCACTGCGTCATCCCGTGAATGAGACTTTGTGCTATGAAATTATAAAACTCGATTCTGAAAGTTTACGTATAAGAATCAAAAAGCTTAAAACACAAAGGATAAATGCTTTCACGAAAATACTACATTACATATAACTAAGGAACTTACGATTAGAACTTTTCTCTCTACGGAAATACGCAACGACAGCGAAGAGGAATATACTTAATATTATAAACTCACGAACCTAGTTCACTAAAAAACCTCTTTGTCGCAAATTTGCACGACTTTAGCATAAACTAAACGTTTAACGCTGTGGCGTGCGGTGACCGAATTTAATAGGCAAGCGCTGGCGGTGAGGTTCGCGGCAAGCCGCTCCCCCAGAAAATTTTTGGATTTTGAAGGCTACTGGAGCGCATTTCCCGCGATTTCTGGGAGTACTTTGTCGAAAAAAATGTATCTGTCATGACTGAAACAGTATTGAAAAAATCTAAAAAATTCAAAAACTTTTATAGAGTATATATCACAATTACGGTTTAAAAGTATTACATGTGGTATTGTGATATAAAGTCGTTTTAAGTAAATGGCTACGCGTGCATTTCTATTGTAGTGAAGAAGTAACAGAACGAAATAGTCCAAAATCCTACAACAGATTTACTTAAATGTAAATTCCATCCGTCTTTCCTTTGCGCAAAACTCCTTTATAACGTCCTCATAGAATCGTGGCTTCCCCTGCAAACTTACCAACATCTCCTTTTCGATTGAAATTATAGCCAATGCAGAAAGTCGCTCTTGCCCTTGTGTACTGCGAAGATACGTTTTGATACGCTTGAGAGCCGAAAATGATCGATCTTTCTGCAGAGGAGGACGTACTTGGCATAGTAAGAATGAGCTGACACAATCGGTACACCTCTGGAAAACAGGCTTTCAAGTCAAGTTCGATTATTTTTGATATCATATCAAAAACAGGTTTCGATTTGAGCTCGGCAGATGCGTATACAACGATTAGTTCACTTTTTAGTGCTTGAAGATTAAAGAATGTTCCATATGAATCTTGCAACGATTGCAGCTCTCGTTCGGGAAAATTCCGGCTGTACAGTTCGTGCTTTGAATAATCCAACAAAGAAACGAATGCTCTGCTGTTAAGACTTTCGAATCTAGAGTCAATCTGCACGACAATGGTATCGACTGCACAGAAAAACATTTCACGGAAGGACGCCTTTACATCCTCTTCACTTTGCCCGCGTTTCAGTGCTACTTTGACGATACTTGACGTAAAATTCCAATAATCTACGAATTTTGTTCGTTGTTCTTGAATCTTATCTTTCGTCTCGCGAACTTTCGTGACACAGAAGACAATATCGAACTGCTTACTCTGAATGATATTATACAAAACATCCGTAAGACCAAATATTTCTGAAAATATTTTAAGGCAGAACACAAACTGGAAATCTGCAAGAACTTGTCGGTAGCCCTCGCTTCGTTTAACGTCGTACCGTCAAACTCGTCATCATTTTCGATGATGTATTCGAAAACTTCGAGCAGCTTTGCTCTTGTCTCCAGTACAGCATGGATTAACCTGCTCTGATAGTGCCATCGAACAGCTGTTCCAGTGGGAATGCGTCTGCCGACAACTGTGTCCAACAGGTATGTTCTCTTGGACGAGGCGTGAAAAAAGGATGAAAGACCAGTGACGGTTTTAAAAAATATACGACACTCTTTAGTTGACGAGACAGCTTGAACAAGGACCAAATTTAATGCGTGTCCGCAACAGTGGATAAAAAGAGCATGTGGATAGTCTTCTTACTCGTGTTTGCAAACCGGACAGTTCTCCTGACATCACACTCGCACCGTCATACGTTTGGGCAATCAGTTTTCCGCCGCATCCGTACTCGTTCAGGGTTTTACCGACTTCTTGTTTCAGTCTAGCCGCAGTTCTATCCTCACTTACATCGGTAAATCCAAGAAAACGCTCCACAGCTTTACCATCTGGGTTGACATAGCGAACTATAGTTGTTAGCTGCGATAAGGTCTTAACGTCGGAGGTTTCATCCAGGGAAATAGCGACAAATGGGCTCCTCATCACTTCATCTTTTATTGCTTCCAACATAACGTCCTTGACAGCAACAATTAAATCATTCTGGATACGATTAGAAAGTCCAGAAAACACGGTTGCTGTATGAAGATGCTGTTCAAGCGTGGGGTCATATGCACTTAGCAGTTTTATCAATTCGACGTAATTGCCCCTGTTGGCAGACTCCTCCAGCTCCACCCGACCTCTGAAAGAAAGTTCCTGTTTGCCAAGAAAGCAAACAACATCAATGAAACGGCGAAGTACTTCTCTATTCTTGTGCACCATCAAGTTGTGAGCTGAGATGTGTTGACGGGCCTGTTCGTCTAGCTGCATGTCGATGCGTGTACGCCCAAAACTGGCATTCATTAGGCAACTGGACAAGCGTGTCTTCGTTTTCTCGTGTCTGTTGACGGCATTACACAGGTTGGCCAAATCATCGTATCCCTTCTTGCACCAGACTGTCTTGTCTGTTGAGTTGAACAAAAGACACGGCCAGCAAATTAACTTATTCAATTTTGAGAAGCCAGCCAGCCATTTGTACTTGTCGTAATTTGACGTCTGAAAACTTCGAATAAAGACTTTACCACTTCGCTTGGATGTTGTATGTAGTCCTTGCAACTCAGGAGTGGGACGGCCACCTTCGACGATCTCTCGTTTCTCGGAAAAAGGTCTCAATCCAAATGAGCGGGATAACAGTGATTCCACAATGCATTCAGTCATGTTGTACAGGTGTCGTGAAAATACCGAATGTAGAAGTAGAACATAAAAGGATGAAAATTCCTATGCTATATATTTTATAGGAACATCAATCTTATTTATACCTTACATCAGTTACATGATATCTACCGGATACAAATATCAAAACTACTACGCAAAGGAAGCTCTTGTCAATATCATAATCTTGTATTACATGCTACAGATAATATCTTCTACATACATAAATTGCAAGACAATAGGCGCGAAATGTATTGTAGCAGTCGTGATTATAACAATTAAGAACAGCCAGTTTCGCGCACAAAATTGGCACGGTGTGTTACAAACTGAGGCCATGGCGTTGTTTAATGTTTATATTTTGGTATAATGACGTCATGGCAACGTGTTCTCCCGTTCTTCAAAATGTGTCTGGCACTGACTCGTACGTTTCAGAATATCGGAGAGTCGTGTTTATTATTTAGTATCTTGTACCTTTATTTTTAGTCATTAATTTACGAATTCAACGACACAAGACTGACAAGAGCATAGTGTTTTGGTCATAATGCTAGTCATACTTTACCACAACACACGTTTGCGTGCATTTCGATATCTCTGCAGACTGCGGCCCCTGCTTGTTTACGCACATTGTGCGCAGAAAATAATAAAATAACCAGTAAAGCACCTACTACTTTGAATTAGAAATCAGAACATTACCTTTCGCTCTCAGTTATCTTTTAATAAACGATAACATTAAAGGCGTGAATAATTCGGATGTCCAATGTGTTGAATACACAGATCTAATAATACGCTAGATAGTGCAACTGACATACAAGTTGAAGCCAGGCAAATTTACTTCCGGAGCCCCAAAGTTGTGAGAATCAATATGGCGTTGTATTAGAAAATATGTGGTCCAAGTTAATATCTCGCAATTATTAGCAAATCGCGGAGGTTGCATCAACTTTTTTGCCCTATTTATGAAATAAATCATTGTGACTATAGTTTGTAAGAAAAAAATTGCAGAATACGCCAATACATCGCCGTAAAATTGATTTCAAGTGTAGCTCGATTTGAAAGCATCAGCAGCGACTAAGGCTTAAGTACTGGAATTTGCACATCTAAATATCGTATCACAGCACAATCTGCGATAGTGTGGCTTAGTTCGTGTGGCAAATACAGCGATATCATACTCGATCTATGGATGTATTGTAATAGAACAGGCATATTACAAAAATCAGTCAGAAATTGACACATGTTACAAGCACAAATTAAATATTTTGCTCAGAATAAATAATTTAGGTTTGATATTTTCAATAACAAGAATGTGTAGAAAGTTTATATGCATATACATGCCTGAATGGTAAAAAAGACAATAAAAATGTTGAAAACAGTAGCATAACATCACCATAACAGTACATTAAGCACTGTGGGCAGTGGCCATATAACTCACTAGTTTAGACTATGACAATACATTGTTTATATATATGTGTAAAACACAGTCAATACTACAAGTCTGGTGACTCTTCTTGCTTTAACAAGTAAATATTTTCCCCGTGTTGGACAGAGTGTATTGTATCAACCTGTGGTATCAACAGTTTCACAAGTGACCTACTATTTTATACTTCACAAAAAATTTGGTGTAACAGAGGTAGACTCATAATATAAAACAAATTCCGAAGAAGCAAGACAGACTCTATGACATAGACAAGCAAGACATAGACAAGACATAGACAAGCAAGACATAGACTCTTCGAGGTAGACTCTTCACATTCTTTCTGTAAATAATTTCTGAACGTATTAATTACTCACATCGTGACATAGCTATATTCGTTTGCCAACCAGAAACACCAGAAAAATGCATTTCTGGTACAATAATCCAGTGCAATATTTAATTATGTACAGTGAACAATATACTTTATATAAATCGTGAAAAATCTTTCAAACTGTTATCTCCAACTCATTTTACTTAACAATAAATATCGGAAGATAATTCTACGACGTTCGATTGAACATTTTGTGGCAGATTGTGCTGTGATACGATATTTAGATGTGCAAATTCCAGTATCTTAAGCCTTCGTCGCTGCTGATGCTTTCAAATCGAGCTACACTTGAAATCAATTTTACGGCGATGTATTGGCGTATTCTGCTATCTTTTTCTTGAAAAACTATGGTCACATTGATTTTTTTCATTAATAGAGTAAACCAGTTTATGTAACTGTCGTGACTTGCAAGTAATTGCAAGATATCAGCTTTGACCAGATATTTTCTAATACAACGCCATATTGATTCTCACTACTTTGGGGCTCCGGAAGTAAATTTGCCCGGCTTCAACCACAACTTATGAAATGTAAGCCGTCGCACTATCTAGTGTATTATTAGATCTGTGGAGTAAACACAATGGAAAATTAATACCGACAATGACACGTAATTTGATAATCACTAATCGCTGTACTCGTATTAAAAGGTCGAATAATTACAACCTCCGCCAATTTAAAATAGCGGGAGTTCGACTATAAAAACAGCACATTTGAGCATGCGTCAAGTCCCTTAGCCAACCAGAATTCGAAACTTCTTATATAGAATTATAATATAGAATTATATTGTATGTTCCGCCCTCTGAAGATGGGCGGAATACGTGGAGAATCGCGCGAGTATGCAATGTGCGAGAAAAGGCGGTTGCTAGGTTACATAACAAATCTTGAGATTTTGCTGTATTACGATTACGAACCACCTAATAAAAGCGTAAATATGAACGAATAAAACATAATATTACAAATTGTTCGTGAAATAATGTATATCTTATGTCCAAATAGAATATTTATTATTTTTTTGGGAAATTTCTACTCCCGCCGGGCGGGAGTAGCGGGACCGCTAGCCACGCCACTGAATATCATATGTTGTTTTGCATGTTTTAATCCATTGTAGCAACGTCTTCTTGAAGTCATTGTCGAAAATTTGTAGCTCTGAATACAATTCAAAGCAACAAATAAACACTGACCCCCAATTTTACAATAAAAAAGCCATAAACATACCGCGCCATTGACTATTTATAAATATTCAATACTTAGAGGATTAAATCACGTGTTATGCAGTAGCATACTGATTTGCCTTTAATATAAGAAACATTTGTGATTTGTGTGGTTGTACAAAGGGCGAACCAGTGTTGTTTTGCAAGTTTTTTAAGTAAAAAAACTCAGCACTCTAAAGGCATCATCAACAAGACGTAAGTACAATGCTAACAGAATGAATACTAAAGAACAAAAATTCCAAATTTTTTGATATTTATCATGACATCATAAAAAAGCCAAATAAAATTATCTAATCTACAACAAGCAGTAAATAGTTCGTTTCCTAACTTAAGTATGTCACGATGTTCAGATATAAATAGTAAAAAGATAATCATAGTCTACAATGATCTACTGTTGCTTCTACATATAAGTATGCAATAAAATATGTTATATCAACTGTTCTTGGGTATAACACCAGTAACACTAATATAACACTTATAAGATTAAAGCTTGCTGAGATTTACAACATCTTACAAAATTAACTTTCAAATGTTTATTACTATAATGCATGTTTAGATTTGGTCGATTATGTTGTCGAATATTCTTGTCTCAATCTTCAATTCTGCCATATCATGGTCGTCATCTTTACAGCCAATCTCATTTCTCGTTGTTTTTAAATAACCAGAATTTACCATTATTATTTGGCTTGTTTGGAAATCAACTGGTTTAGTCTACTAGGAACACTTCGAGAGAAAACGGTGAAAGGTTTGATGTTAAAACCACTGTTAAAACTGTTACATCAAAAATTATCATTCCATTCAAAGTTAATAATGACATAAATAAAAAAATAAATATATCTTTACATACAAAAGTTCAAAGTAAGGTTACTAATAATGGCTACATTAATTCATTGTCAATTAGCTACACAAGATATACACAATTATGTCCTTGAAAGTTTCCGTTTTTGAAACAGAATGCGTTTTCAAGTGTTTGCATTTTACACTATTATATAGTGAATGGTTATTTTTACGATAATATAGTGAATGGTTCTTTCTATACTTACGACAGTTTTAAACGCAGCATTTTACATACGCCAAATGCATTCAGACAAAAGAAATTTAGATAAATTCCTTGCTATCTTTTGTTTTAAATGCAATCGGCTCATGTAAAATGCAAAGTTTGAAAAACGGACCTGAAAGTTGGCAACTAATACATTCAGATTTACATTTCTTCTTGTGTTGACTGAACATTCAACATAAAATCATCCAGCGCTTCCATCGTATATCCATGTTCTCTTATCAAATCCAAGACATGAGGTAAAAAATTGAATTCCTCAATAAGAGTCTCTTGTATGGGACGAGGCCTCCCACAATTTTCTATTCCTGACGTCATTTCACCAAGACAACCTTGAACATTTAGTTCAGCATTGGTTACGTCACGCTCCCCATGTTCCAACCTTCTGTTTTTGTAGAATTTCTTGCAAAGTTGGCAACCCATGTCTATGCTGGTATAAAATGAAGATAAAAAGTCTTTAAAATTTGATTTTTATCTTACAGACACACAAAGTGTTTCATACACGATCGCGCAAAAGAAGTATGCTAATTGTTTTGTGTTCACGCAATGTTCACAATGTTCACAATGTTCACGCAATGTCACGCATGTTCACGCAATGTTCACGCAATTTTTACAGACTACATAGAAACGTAGAAAAAATTGCAGATCTTAAAAAATTATTTTATTTCACCCAGTATAATAATAATAAATTAAAAATGTGAATATTTTATTTCCAAAAGCGAAAACAACAGACAAACTTAGTTTAAAATAATCAGAAAAACGATCCAGCAGGAAAAATGTCGAAATGTATGAAACTTGCTTCATACTATCATTTGACGAAACGTTGTTGAAATGTATGGTTCGGATCGTAAGTATAGCAAATTATTCTATTACCTAGTGTAAAATAGAATAGATAAGTCATATTTACCTTTTCTTTTAAAGCCCGTTAGCCACGTAAAGAAATATACA